CTCCCAAAAGAGCTCGTGGTCACTCCCTTCCTCTTCAAAGCCGGCGACTGTATCCTCTGCCCCCTCCTTCTGTCCTCACTTCTCCTGGGGCTGAACTCTAGCCTCGTCACCTATAAGGACCCTTGTGATTCTAAAGGCTCTCCCAGATAACCCAGGGTACCATCTCCATCTCAGGATCTCTAATCACATCTTCATCTTTTGCAACATGAGGGAACATAGCCTAAGTTCCAGGGATCTGGATGCAGACATCTTTGGGGGAAGGTGGTATTCAGCCTAACACAATGCTGACCCAAACTTCTTTTTCTTTTTTTGCCTCTGTTGGGTCTTAGCTTCCGCACACAGGCTCTTCGTTGGGGCACATGGGCTTCTCTCTGGTTGTAGTGCACAGACCCCAGGGTGAGCAAGTCAGGAGTTGCCAGGCATGGGCTTAGTTGCCCAAGTCATGTCGGATCTTAGTTCCCAGACCAGGGACTGAACCCTGGTCCTCTGTAGTGGAAGTGCAGAGTTCTGACCATTGGACTTCCAAGGAAGTCCTGAACTTTCAGTTGATATAAATGGCCTGTTGGAATTTGCTTGACTCCAAAAACATACTACTTTTGTGCTTAAAATGTAGAAAAATTAAAATCCTGGACCAAAAATGAAAAGGAGGGACTTCCCTGGCAATCCAGTGGTTAGGGTGCCTGGTTCTTGCTACCAAAGTCTCAGGTTCAATCCCTGATTGAGGAACTAAGATCCCACAAGCCACATGGGAAGGTTAGAAAAAAAAAAAAGGAAACAAGGGGACGTGTCAAAAAAAACAAAACAAGGTGATGTGTCCACGGCTGTTCTGGTTATCTGACCAGCATGCCGTGCTAGGTGGCTTGGACGGATGACTCGATGGGACCAGTGTGTGGGGGAATGTCCCACTTTCTACTTCAGTTCTCTACAACAAATTCAATTTTTCATATGCACATCTGCACCCATCAAATGAATTTATGCCATAATACAAAGTATAAAAATTCATGTCTGGATCTGTTCAAAAAAAATTAATTTTGTTGGCTATTAGCACTGCCAGAACAAGAGAGGGCGAGTTTAGCATTTTTACCAGCTATGTGTGGAAGGTAGTTTTGATTGAAGATGGGCTTCTCCTGTGACAACATGTCTCCTCACACAGTGGCTTGAACATTCGAAATTCTGACTGTGGTCGGCCACAGTGATGGGCAGAAGAAAGGCCCCCAAAGATGTCCATATCCGAACTCTCGGGACCTGTGATTACTTTCACCTTATCAGGCAAAGATAACTGCATTTATTAGCCAACTTGAGATCAGCCTGGGTTATCTGTGTAGTCCAGGCATCATTGCAAGAATCCTTAAAAGTGGAAGAGGAGGCAGAGGTCAGAGGGATGTGGGTGACTCAGCGTGCAGACACTGGCTTTGCAGAGGGAGGGACGGGGTCCTAGCCAGTGGATGCAGGCAGCCTCCTGAGGCTCAAAAAGGCCAGAAAAGTCATCTCTGGTTAACCCCCTGAAGGCCCAATGGTAAGGAATTGGTCATGCTTCCACTGCGGGAGGCCCGGGTTCAATCCCTGGTAGGGGAACTAAGAGCCCACAAACCGCAAGGCACTGCAAAAAAAAAAAAAATAATCTTTCCTGGAGCCCCCAGAAAGGAACCCAGACCTTGACTTTGGCCCAGTGAGAACTGTGTCAGATCCCTAACCTGCAGAAGCCTGAGAGAATACCTTTCTATGGCACTTGGTGAAGGTAGTCCTGGGAAGGTATTAACAGAATTGTCTCTTCTTGGGACTTCCTTGGTGATTCAGTAGCTAAGACCCCACGCTCCCAGTGCAGGGGGCCTGGGTTCCATCCCTGGTCAGGGAACTAGATCCCACATGCCTCAAGTATTAGTAAGTGTTTGCATGCTGCAACCAAGGAGCCCATGTGCTGCAACCAAGATCCAGCACAGTCAACAAATAATAAATATTTAGAAAGGAAGAATTGTCTTCTCTCCAGGTCTAGAGGCCAGAAGTGTGGGTGGGGCCATGCCCTCTGAAGCGTCTGGGGGAGGGTTGTTTCTGGCTTCTTCCAGCCCTGGAATTGCTGCGTCATCCTCAGTGTCCTTGGCTCGTGGAAGCACCGCTCCACTCTGCCTCCATCGTCACATGCAGGGTGTCTCGGGCCGAATTGCCCTCTTCTCGTAAGGACACCAGTCATATTGGATTTAGGGCCCACTTTGCTGACTTGATCTTACCTTGATTCTGTCTACAAAGATCCTATTTCCCAACGAGGGCACAATCACAGCACAGCAGCTCTGTCTCTACAGGGATGGCTAAGAGGCAGGTCCGGTACAAGGAGGGTGTCTGGCCTTTCATGCTCACAGCTTCGAGTCTGGGGGCCCATCTGGCCACGCTGTGCAGAGTTGTGGTGGGTGCATGGTTTTTTGTGTCCTTTTCTCTTCTCCCTCCCAAGTTTGTGGTCCCGAAGGCTTTGACTAACAGTGTGAGGACACCGAGGCTGTGTCCCCCACACAGTGGGAGAGGCAGGTTCAGGTGCCTTCTGTGGGGGAGGGGCCTTGGAAAACCCCCACCCCCTTTACTCCCTTCTCTTCTGGCTCAGCGGACCCACGCCCAGCTCCGGCACCACCCCCAGCAGCGAGAATGTCACTTCGGGCTTCCATCGCTTTCCCAAGACACTCTCCCAAAGTTCACTTTATATAAATGCTGGGATTTCATAAAGCTTTCTCTTTTCTCCATTCTCAAAAGCAGAAGGAACGCAAAGCCCTCCCTTGCCCATTTTGGTTCCTGGCTACCACCCATCTCTGGTTCCCTTTAGGGTGAACCCTTTATGGGTGCCTAGCCCTCCCCTTGGCTGTCTTCAGACCTTCCTCTCCAGCACACCAGCCCTTGACAGTGGTCACTAGGGTCCCCACCTCTGACACATCGCTCAGCAGGAGACACTGGTGTCTGTCTACGCCTCCTTCTGGAGACACACCCACCGCTCATCCCTCTGACCTCCAAACACAAGAGCAGCCAAGTTATGTCCCTTCTTTCTGTGCTCTCACAAACCGAGGCTTCAAGCATCACCTACCCACCTAGAATCTCCTGCCCACATTCTGTGGTCGGTCAGGCAGAAGTCAGTTTAGTTAAGATATTGGTCTGTTTTTAATAACTCATGACCGCTGCTCCGAGTGTTAGGGGAGAGTTGGGGGAGGATTTGGAGAACTTTGTGCAGGTGAGAGATCCTGACTGGCCTGTCCACCTCCAGCTCTGCTGCTGGTGTCCCAAGACCAAGGGCTTCATCATGCGTCTCTTTAAAGCAACAGATCGGGTGCCCTCCTCTCCACTCCTTACTCATCCTGTTTTGCCGGGACCCATAGCCGCAGGAAAATCAGCCTGGCACGGGGAAGAGAATGTGGTTCCTGGCGCGTCTTCGTCACGATGGAGTCCAGGCTGCAGTGAAGTCGCTCCCGTCTGGGTCTGCTCACCGGTCAGCCCTAGACCCTCTTCCCTGCACTCGGGTCTGGAGGAGGCACTGGCACAGGTCAGACTGCAGGTGAAACTCCCTGGCCCTAGCCTGGCTTCCTTTCCAAGGTGCGTGCCTCTTTTAGCCCGTTTGGAAAATAGCAAATGCTGATGTTCCAGTTACACAGTCTGGTGGTGGTGTTTTTTCCTTTGCATTTTGTATTGCTCCCTTAATTTGTCCTAGTTCCAGAAGCACTTTTTAAAAATGTATTATTTCCCCTAAAAGGCCTTATTTTCAAAAGAGCAAGGTGTTACAATGAACATTTGAAAGTATCTGCTCAAATGATTTCATTCTTGAAGATGCCCGTAAGCTGTGTGGCGATTTTAGATTACTATAGAGCTCTGCTCTTCTTTAATGCACTTTGATTTGCAAGCAATGGGATTGTTTTGCGCCGAGTTGAACAGTTCACTAATATTGAAGATCATCCATTTTTTTATTACCTGAACTTAAGTGATCAGAGTTTTTGTAAAAGGCCTCCTGTAATTTTGCAAGGACTTGTAGATTTGGAACTTTGCAGTGTTATATATATCATGTTGTGTTTTCCCTGCTCTCCCGAGAAGAGGCCACCTCCACACCCGGATGTTAACGTTGGGGGGAGATGCTCCGGTGGCCCCTGGGAGGTGGGACCCCCGCCTGTGAAGCCAGACGTATGGACAGCAGCCTGTGAGCTCTGAGAAACCAGACTTGTGAGCTCCTGAGAAAGAACTCAGCCTAAAGACAAACCTTCTCTTTAAACCCGCCCACGAGACTGTGCAGAAATAAAGCACTCGGTTCCATCCACCTTCAAGGAAGAGAAAGCAGGGACGAGTGTCTTCCAATGGAGAACACGAACCTGTGTGCTCAGAGGCCAATGAACACTGCAGACCCACATCGAGGTCTCTAGCGCAGGCGGGTGTTTTAATGAGAGCCCCAGGACAGCATACTGGTTCTGTGGATTTATTTAACTGCTGTTCAACGTCACACAGTGACCACAACTGTACACTCTCTAAATGCAGCTGGGAAGTTAAAAGGCCGTCAGTTCTTTAACTGGTTGGCTTTCTAGACAGCTTCCCCTTGACAGGAGAGCATGTACCCGGCTCTCTACCTATACGGATTCCCAGCCCAGGTAAGGCCCGGAGGCTGGGCAAGGACTTGGGCCCCACATGCCGACTCCATATGCCCGGGGCGCCCTACCCAGGGACAGGCTGGGCTCTCGTCACACAACCCTTTCCCTTTTGTGCCCAATCCCTTACAGAAAAAAAAAAATGTGATTTTTTGACAACATGGGTTAATGGTTTTCAATATGTAATAGATCCTGAAGGCTTAAACTATACCCCTGGAGGATGATGTATTTATTTCCTAGAGCAGGGCTTTCCAACCCTTATTTATCTTTAACACAAACTCACACCCAGATGAGTAAGGTGTTTGTCTTTTGTGTTCTCCAAACAAAATAACAGAAATAATATAACATTGTTATTTTAGCACAGAGCAGGCGCAAGGATCACTCTCCCAGAAAGTCAAGGACTTGTATCAGGAGCAGGCGTTTTATTGAGACTTCGCATCAGTTCCTGCCTGAGGACCCCTCACAGTCTCCACGACAGCTGAGGAATCCACACACAAGACGCACAGACGTGACGATGGTGGAGAGAGCACACAGTCAGTGGGTCTCAAAATCAAGGTGTTTTATAATAAAGTTATACCAAAAGCACAGCAACAAACGAAGAATGGTTTATTAGACAAAACGAGAAACCCCCCAACACATAACACCCCCAGCCCAGAGCCAGCAACTGTCGACACTTCAGGTTCACACTGAACACTGCCAACCGCCCGCCAGCGCCGTTCAGCGGAGGGCCCTCCCCCTCAAGAGCAGGTCTTCAGTCTCAGTGGTACCACAGGGAAATCGTACACGAGCACTGACTAGGCGAGGTTTTAAAACACACGTCAGGCTGCTTCACAGGCTGAGATGAACACATGGTCTTAAATAGTTCTTAGTACAACATCATGTTCTTAAGGAAACAACAGGAAAGCAATCTCAACGGTTTAAAAACTTAGCACTATTTGAAGCAGCAGATAAAATGTATTCATCACCAGCATGTACCGAGGAACTTGGCGTTGGCAAGATTTGTGGCTTAGGAGAGAAACCATGAGCAGGACTTCTCTATAAAACCTTCGCGGCACTTGACCACACTCTCGTTTCTTAACAAATCCTCCTGTTCCGCAATGGAAACAGATGTCTATTCATCAAGAAAGAAGAAGGTGAGCGCAGGTTTTACGGGAAGGAGATGAGATTCTTGTTTAAAATACTGGGATGCCAACCCACATGGATGTCATGTTCGGAGACCGGTGTCAGCATCTGCAGGTGTTTGCCAGAGGAGACCAGCTGCAGGGTGAGCCAGGGTCTTCGGTGGTGAGAAGCCTGCGCAGCCTGTCCATCTGCTCCAGGAAGGCCCGGGTGGCAGGAGGTGAACCACAGGAAGGCACTTACCTAGATCACCGGGTAAGACAAGAGACCAATCCCGGTGTCATGCCAAGTCTCAGGAAAGTCAGCCATCCACTCTCCCAGCCCCTGCAGGCCCCTTCCCCCGGATCCGTCTGTCCATCTGTCCGTCCAACAGACCCAACAGGGCTGCGGGAGCGTCAGGTCCTCCTGCTGGCGGGCGTGCCGTTCGCTCTCGACCGCTGCCGGTCGTATTTCACAGAAATGATGAGGAAAAGCAGGAGGGTGGCTCCTTGAATGGCCGCCAGAAGGAAAAAGTAATAGTTCAAATAGCAGCCGTTGATGTTGCCTGGAGAGAAGGAAAGGAAAAAAAAACAGAGTTTAGAGAGACAGTTTACAAGATTTTATTTCTTTAACTTGGCTCCTACCAAGGTCAGGGTGACTTTTAAGTGTGGTCATTAAAAAAAAAGAAAGAAAGAAAAAAGGACCCTATCGCTAACTCGAAGTACACAAGTGCCTTGCTCCCAGAGCCACCGTGACACCAGCTCCACCCTGGAGCCCCGTCGCCAGCCTCTCCTGCTCCACAGACGAGGAGCCCAACTGTCCCCAAGTCAGCTCTGGAAGCGGAGGGTCTTGGTATCCTGGGTCCAGGGTCTGTACATTTATCAAGACTCCGCAGTGGGCCAGGACACAGCCTGGACATCACATCTCACAGGACTCCTGCACTCCCGCATTGTCACCCGACATTAGACGCGCACCAGCGTCCCCTTCACAGGCCAGGGCAGGTGGCTGAACACACAAGCTGCACGCTGTGGGAAGACACAAGTCTGCTTTTTAAATTTCTCCTTAAAAACTTCAGGCTTCAAGTCGATATACAAGCACCGTACTTTATTTAACCAAAGAGCTGACATATTGAATGCCTGAGCACCACGCAGGCATCCCATGCACAAGGTTCCATTTAATTCCTGATAAACCCTGAGGAGGCGGAGGTTACGGCCAGGGACCTCAGAGCTCAACCAGACAGGCTCAAACCCAGTGTCGTGGTCTCTGGGCCCAGTTTCCTCATTTGTAAGATGTGACATGGTGGCCAGCTCCCCACCCCACCCCCAGCCTGGGACAGAGCTGCCGTGAGAAGTACCCAGGGCCTCTTACAGAGCCCAGGGCCTCGGACCAGCTCCTCAGCAGAACCCCCGTCAGGACCCCCAGTCTTCACGGAGGTCTGGGGTACCTGGTCTGCACACCAGTTGTCTCTCCATGGAGAACCGAGGTTTCACAGCAACACCCACCACGGCCCCTTGGCATGGAGACGCAGGGCTGCGGGCGAGGGACCACGCCACCCCAGCTCCCTGCAGACGGCTGTCCCCACAGGCCACAGGTGGCCTACCGCTTACACTGCCTGTCACCAGCTGAAAAGGGCCTGGCACACGCTCGAGAGAGGGGCGGGAGACGCGTCCACCAACCACGCGTCCAGAGGATGCCGCCGATGGGCTTCATAAGCATTTCCCCTTTGATTACTTAGAGCACCAGACTTCCTTCCCTCTGATGGTCTCCGTCAGGCTGGGTTATTCTAGAACTTCCTTTTTCTATCTGAACGTACTCTCATTAAAATTAGACGTTCAACACTGCTTTTATTAAACAGAATGAACGAATAGATACAATACACGTGTTTGCATAATAATCATTCACATGTTTTTAAAGAATTCTCACTCAGGTTGTAGAAGACAACGATTTCCTATGTTTACTGCTTTGAGAAGAAATCCAGTAATACCTAGAATTTCTACTATATTGTGCTTTTTATTCAACAGGTACTTAAAAGCCGTGGTTTGGTCCTTCCTGACTGTGGGGCTCCGCCCTGGACAGAGACCCCCGCTCCTGGAGTCTGCTGTGCCCGCACCCACCGTGGCACTGCTGGGTGGTGCCGAAGTGCCGACCCTGAAACATTCTTCTCCCCAAATGACACAAGCGATTGAAACTAGCAAAGGGGAAAGCCGGCAGGCCGTGCGGACTGCACACGGTGTTTTCCCAGTCAGGGCGAGTCTCAGCCTGGCGTTAGGAAGGGTGTTCAGAACTGGGTCCACCACCTAAAAGCTATCACAATCAGCCTTCGCTTTCTTGGGCCTCTTATCAGACAGAAGGTAACTGCATATGAAGGTGGTAAACTCTGGGTGTTCTTTATTTGATAAGACAGACTCCTGGGCCCCAAGGAACAAGCTCACGTGTCACCAAACACATGCACGAAAACATTCCCAGCTGCTCTATTCATGACAGCCTCCAACTGGGGACGCCTGCAACACCCATGCACAGCACAGCAGATAAATGAACTGTGACTTATTCGTACAACAGATCCTCCGCAGAAATAACAAAAGAACCGGTTACTGGGGACGACTCAGAGAACTCAGCACTGAGTAAAGACGGCTGCAGCAGATGCCTGGGAGGCGACAGGACTCAGAGGGCTGACATCACAGCAATTCATCCTGCCAGGGCCTGGGGGCTTAACTCAGCAAGGACAGGAGGAAGGCTTCTGTCCTGCATTTGGGTCAGGATGAAGAGCACACAAAGCCGCGCGCTTCAAGACCAGCGCCCCTCACAGCACAGATGTGGTTCCCAATCTAAATACAACAAGGACAAGCAGGCCGGCAGAGGACGGGGAGAGAAGGACAGAGGGAGGGGAGACTCAGACCACAGCCAGGGACCCGACAGGAAGAGATCACACGTTGGTCGGGAAGCACTGAGCCAGCGCCCACCGCCACCTGAGCCCGGGCAGAGCAGGGAGGAGCAAGGAGAATAGAGAAGCTGGCCTGCTGCTCCTCCTCCAGAAGAATCTAGCATGGCTTGGGGGTGGGAGTGGGGTGTCCCCGGTCCCACCCTGTCTCCCAATCACCGCCCCCAACAGCCCCTGCCCCTAACCGAGAGGGAGCCCTGCCATGTCCTCCTACACCACCGTCATCTCACCCAGCACCCGGGGCTCCAGGCAGAAGGGGCGCAAGCTCCCTGCACTAGAGGGAAAGAGGGGAGACCACCTGCGGTCCAGATGGGGCGGCCAATCCAGGACACACGACCCGGTGCCTCCCTCTCGTGGAAATAGTATCAACACACAGGACCCAGGTCCAGCACCGGTACCTGTGTGCATCAATACTGGAGGTGATCCTCACAGCTACAAGTATTAAAACTACCTGTCAGAAGCAAAGGATGGATGACAGGCAAACTACAAGTTATTAAATTAGTAGTGGGGGGATTAAATCACTGGAAAGCAACAAGGATGACCAAAGCCAATCAATCCTTTATGATACATTTAAAAATGAAACAAAAACTAAGAAACAGCATCGACATCTGAAGAACTACGGAGGTTTGCTCTCTGTAACAAGTCTCTGAAGGAGGTCTGTTCCAATGACACTAGGAACCCAGGAGAACTCTCAGAACCCCTGTGTAACTGGAGCTTACCCTCTGGAAGGGGGGCAGCCCCTCCTCACCACAACCAGGCTGGGCCTGCCCGCCCCCCACAGTCCCGGCACTCACAGCTGGACCACATCAGCCACGGTGCCCAGGGGGTACAGGGGGCTCCGGTTCCTGTTACATCAGGGCTTCTCGGGCCTAAACACTCAGCTCAGGACAGGAATTTTAACTGAATCACGGGAGGGCTTTTGGAATTCTGCCATTTCTAGAGAACAGTCTCTAAGCTTTCATCAGGTTCCAAAGGGGATTTACAACCTAAAAGTACCAGGGGACAGCAAATACTACACAACTATGCAAGGAAAAGCAACCAAAAGCAGTGGTGGTTTTTACTGGTAAAACATACAGAAGGAAGACGCCTCCATCTCCAGGTCCACCTACAGGCGACGTCAATCTACAAACAGCAGAGCTCTTGTCTCTCGCCAGTGATTTTGCTCAAGATGCCACCTACTGGCAGTGGCTGTAAAACCCCATTATGACTGATCATAAGTCACATTTGTTTTTAAAAAAGCAACTTAACTATGCTTTTTTTAATCGCAAGAAATTAAAAGGAACTGTCAGGGAAAGAAAATACAAAACTAAGATAAATGAAGGGAAATTTGTGATACAGATTTTATCTGCCTCCTAATAAAATACAGTGCTGGACCTGACTGTACCTGAGAAAGAAGGCAGTGTACCCATCACAGATATGGGAATAAATAGCGGCCACTCAGCTGCTGGTGGCGGGTGTGGCCAAGGCTGACCCGGGCAAGAAAGGTACACCTGTTTCCAGGAGGTCATGTGTGACATGGGTAAACAGGGTGAGGTGGGTGGTCTGACGCAGCTCAGGGAGCAGGGTGGGGGCTCCTGGCCCAGCCCAGAGACACTGATCGCGTCCAGTCCCAGGTGCCCCACGTGACCCAAGGGCTGGGGCTCTGGATGCTGGTCACTGCTGATGGGGTGGGCAGGGGTGGGGTGGTCCTTACCGAAGTCTGTGTGGCTGCTCATCCACCCGATGGCCTTCAGGGACACCAACGCCAACAGTCCTGAGCCCACGAAGGACCCGACGCCAGAGAAGAAGAAGAACAAGCCCATGATGGCGCTCTGCATGGACTTGGGGGCAGCCGAGTATGCAAATTCCAGGCCTGGGGGGGGCGGGGGATGAAGGGTATTTTTGGAGAGAACATAGCACTGCCTCCGCACGGCTGCCCTCGGGGACCTGGGACTCTGGGCACGCCCTTCCTTGCTCTGAGACAGCTCCCGGCTGGCTGTTCATCTCCCACCACAGCTCCTGGAAACCCCAAGAGGTGGTGGTGACCCCCACCCTCACATCAGAGGGCAGCATTTGACTTGCCAGCTCTTGGAATTTCCAGTTCCTCATGGAAAGAAGTTGAAGAAGCCAAATTTCCTACATTCTTAACTGATGTGAGTCTGCAAATGAACTAGTGACACTAAAATGGGGAAATCTACTCAGGAATTCTACCTGAAAGGCAAGGTGTTTGAGAACAGTTTTGGCAGGCACATCTATAACCCAGTTCCTACCATGATAACCAGACATGGAGATGTGCGCTGGGCTCTAAAGGAAGGGCCGATCCCTTTGATTTATTCCCTCCCAAGTTCGTGAGGCAATTCCACGTGAGCACAGGGGGAGAGGAGGAGAGGGGAAAACCAGCGCCCGCGGCCCGGCCAGCTCTGGTTGTCACTCATTCTCTCCTTCCCTCACTCCCAGCAGCGAGAAACAGGCCCACACAGAATTCACTGTCCACATGCCACCACGGGGTCTCACCAATAGGGAGGAGAGGCCTGTGAGAACATGCTTCATAAATGAGGTTTCTCCCTTACACATCTAAAGGCAGACACTGCGAGTCGGGCAGTGAGGGACCCCGAGGCCTGGCCACGGCAGGACTGCAGGGCTGGGGAGCCAGTGCCCAGGCCAGGAAGCCGAACCCCCCACCCCCGAAACGGGTTCTCCTTTCCCGTCTCCTGTGGAAGCGCTACAGCAGGTGAATTTCATGTTGATGTTTTGGGAATCCTACTTTTACACCAAGAAAGGGGAGCCTCAGCCATAACATCACGCTTTCCTCACCGATTCACGTTCTGAACCACACCTGCCCACCAACACCCACCGTGCACTGTGCGGTTCTCTCAACACAGCCTAACAAGGGAGGAAACAGCACAGCCTTAATTGTGCAGTGAGGGGACTGGACACAGATGCCCCTGACAGGAAACCTCACCTGCGATGCTGGCGAATATCTCACTGACGCCGATCAGCACGTACTGCGGGACCTGCCACCAGATGGGCAAGTCCGCGGCGTAGTACACAACGTTCCCAATGGTCTGGTTGATGGTCTTCTCCTTCACGAGGTCCAGCCTCTTGCTTTCCAAAATCCCTACAATTCATAAGTAGCTTATGAGTATTTATTCATTAACATTTGTAATGAAACTGAAAAACCAGATCCTTGGGACAAGATGCCTGTCGGTGATTCTGAGAAACGCATGAAAGGTTAACACCAGATGACACATATTCCCCCCAAACTCCCGAGCTCAGGAATTTCCCTTTCCCCCTTTCAGCTTCCCAAGTAGGTCACTGAAAAACAGAGGTCATGTCATCCGTATCTCACACGGGTGTTCTGCAGTGTCTTATAAAACCAGCGTTCAGCATGCTTAACACAATCCTCAAAGCTCTGGGTCGCTCACCTAAACGCCTTTTGCTTCCTTCAAAGAGAGGAGCATGAGAAAGCTACACTGTCTTGCAATAAAAAGATTAATCACACTATTTACTTACCAGAAGGTAATAAATCTGGAGATGCTTTTCCCCTCAAGGTAACAGATTTACACTGATTCACTGACTGATAATCATGACTACAATGACTACCACTATTACTACTAAAGCCAGTTTGCCCATGCAGATGGGCTCAACCTTATCAACAAACTACAGTAGTCCCCCCTCATCTGTGGGGTATATGTTCCAAGACCCCAGTGGATGCCTGAAACTGAGAACAGTTCTATATCCTATATATATATACACACATATTATTTTTTCCCTGCCCACACAAACCTCTGATAAAATTTAACTTATAAATCCGGCACAGTAAGAGGTTAAGAATATAACAGAACAATGATAACAACCCACTGTAATGAAAGTTATGTGAAGCTGGTGGTCTCCCTAAGTATCTCATTGTATTGTACGTATTTCCAGACTGTGGTTGATCCTGGGGTCACAGAAACCACGGAAATCACAGCCAGGGATAAGGGGGTGACTGCAAACTGGGCCTCACCCGCCACCAGCGGCCTTCTGCCCTCAGCGGCACCAAGGACTCCCTAGGTTATCAGTCATCTGTCAGGTGGGACAGAAGGACATGGGAAAATGAGCAAGATCATGGGAAAACAGCTACTCTACAAGAAAAAAAAAATAAACAGATCGAAATGAAGTTTAAAACAACAACCTGTAGGACCAAGTTCTTAGAGTAAAGATGTTTTTAAGGAATTCTAGTTGCAAATAAAATAATGGACTCTAATAGCTAATGTATATGTAATAATTATGTGTTTAAAACAGTATGTGGAAGGACAGGAGTCTGGGTAGAGGGAGAGTGGAATATATACACATAAGGGGCTTCCGTGGTGACTCAAGTAGTAAAGAAACCTCCTGCCGATGCAGGAGATGTGGGTTCAATCCCTGGGTCGGGAGGATCCCCTGGAGAAGGAAATGGCACCCCACTCCAGCATTCTTGCCTGGGAAACCCCATGAACAAGGAGCCTGGTGGGCTGCAGTCCATGGGGTCACAAAGAGTCAGACGTGACTGAGACACTGAACAACAAATATATATATATATATATGTCCCTTTTCAGATCTGAGCATGAGAAAGGACCAGGATTTGACGGACAGAGTCAAAGAATCTGCCCCCACACCACATCTCAAATATCCACAGAGAAAACACAGCAAAGGCCCGAAAGCAGGTGAGACGGCCTAGCTCATTTCCCCGCAGAAAGCCCGCGTCTCCTCCCTGAAGGGCGGTGCAGGCAGACCTCAGCGCTCACAACTGTCCTGTGACAGAGAACAGGAGCAGAGCATGTGTGTGGAGCGCCTGCTGCTCTGCCAAGGGGAACAGGAGGCTCAGCCCAGCAGTCACCTCAGGAAGCTGGTGGCGGCATTAAGGGCCGTGCCCAGAAACAGCAGCTCTGGCCCCTGGCAGGGCAGCGGGCAGCACCAATGGGCCCGCAGCGTTATCCTGGTAGGAGCGCCTTCAAACCAAGGCTAGAGCACTGCGGGCTTCCTCTGGGTCAGCTGAGCCGGCCCTGGGCCGCTGCCCTCAGACTGGAGGATCACCCCACTGCACTGGCCACCCACCCTCCAGCTTGGAAGGGTTAGATTCAAGTGCAGAGCGAGGGGAGAACTCACTCAGCCTGGTTCAGGGGAATAAACGCTGAGGCTGGGTAAGACTCGCGCCCTTCACAGGAAAGGCAAGGGGGCGTGAAGACCACGCCGAGTGTGCCTGCGTGTTTACGGCGGGCAGCTCCTGGTGGGGACAACACACGGATTTATACCAGGAAGAGAAAAGATACTGCTGACTTCTGGCAAGCTGGCAGAGAACAGGAGTAAGCTGTAGGACAGGCGTCATCAGTTAGGGAAACACAGGCTCCCGTGGAGGCTGAGGGGGAAGGTAACAGCAGCCAAGGGGCCCCTAGACAAACAAGGACCACGCCCTAAGGGACAAGAGCAGAAGTCACAGAGCGCCGCTCTGGTGGGGCCGGGGCAGGAGGGAAGGTGCGGCGTGGCTGACACTGCGGAGACAGGGGAGGAGCAGGGGCCTGAGAGGGGCCGACGGAAGCAGAGCGGTCCTGCAGGGTCCAGGCAGGCCGGCCCCTGGGGCGCCACAGAGCTCGTGACGGGAGAGACAAGCGCGGGAACAAAGCAGCGTAGAGACAGAAGCTGGGAAAACCAGGACAGAAGGAAGAGGCACAAATTCTTCACTAACCACACAAACTCACATCAGGTCAAACACAAGAGAAAACCCAACGCTGTGGGTGAGGCGGGAATGGAGAGCGGCAACAGCAACGGTCGGGTAGGAGGAGGGGCAGGCAGTCACCGGGAGGAAGGCGTGACGACCGCAACACAGGGCAGGAAGGGGGCATCCAGGAAACACGCCCAGGGGCAGGAAAGGCCCCCGTGCCCACCCGGCCCCGCGCCTGCTGCTCCCCGACGCCAGCTCATCCACACTCACCACCAGCCGCAGAGAAATAACGTGGAGCAAGAGAACCGACCGAGGGAGCTGGCCGGGCTCGCGCTGGGCCTGAGAGCTCCCGTGTGCAGCCTCCCCGCTCAGCGCCACTCCCCCATAAACCTTTATGGGCAAAATACCATCACAGGCTACAAGTGCAGCGAGAACCTGAGGCACACCAGCCCTGCTGGTCATCAGAGCAAGCGGACGGAAAGGATAAGGCTTTGCTTTGGCTTCCCAGGTAGCGCCAGTGGTAAATAATCCGCTTGCCAATGCAGGAGACACAAGAGATGCAGTTTCAATCCCTGGGTCAGGAATATCCCCTAGAGGAGGAAATGGCATCCCACTCCAGTATTCTTGCCTGAAGAATCCCATGGATAGAGGAGCCTGACTATAGTCCACAGGGTCACAAAGAGTCAGACACGACTGAAATGACTTAGCACGTAGCACGTGCTAGAAGTTTAGTGAGAATCTGAGGCACATGAGCCCTGCTGGTCCTCGTCAGAGCAAGCAGAAGGAAAGATACGGTTTTGTTTGGTGACGGGTTGCTAACTAGAGGAGACCCAGGGCAGACCCAAGTCCTGTACTTTAGGGACACTATCATCTGTGCCCCCTCGGGGCTGAGTTCTAACAGACTCATGCGGCCTAAGAGAGAACAGTGCCGCTCCAAGGACACTGTCCCCTGGACTGGACAGTGCCTCCCATTCACCAGACCCCGCACAGACCATCGCATCCCTGGACACACGTCACCCCGTGACCCCAGGCCCTGGGCAGCACTGGACTCCAGGACTCCTGCTACACGGGATCCGAACTAACGCAGCGGACAGCACTACAGCCATTGGCTACCCTGTGCAGCGCCCCACAGACATTTTTAGAAAGTGATACTGGCCAAAAAGGAAGCCCTGAAATGCATGATGCAGGAATTATAAAGCCACGATCTCTCTCAACTCAACTAAGCTTTCTTGGTAGCAAATGGACAAACAACAGCATCAACTATTATGAAATGAAAAAGTTCTCTAAAAGTACTCTTGGATCAAAAAGAAAATAAAAACCACAGTTTCAATATTCTCCTGGGGGAGAAAAAGAAACCATTACAACAAACCAAAGTGCAACAGACCTTGATAGAAAGCCAGTAACAGGCCAATTAAAAGAATAACATGGTCTTTACTGTTAAGTGGGAACGAATAAATGGAAGCAAAGAATTTAACTCAAGCAATGAGAAAAAGAAATCAACAAAACACACTGAAGGTAATAAAAGTTAATATCTTAATTATTCATCAAGAAAACATAAAAACAAATGATAAATTCAAGAGATACATCTAAGGAAAAATCGTAAAATACAGTTTTGGCCAATCTAATAAAAAAGAACACATAAAAAAGTGAAACTAAAAAAGAGGAAGGAAATGCAACAGATTTATTTAAATGACCATTTTTATCTCCTTTCAATTTCTCTAACTCAATATATTTTACGGACACTAAAAGATAAAAACCTTAAGTGATTCAACAAAAAACAAGATCTGTACAAAACTGAGGAAAAGGTGGGAAAATGATCATATTTCCTTTCAGAGAAGTGATGCACCCTTGTAATTTTCTAGGTAAAGACTTGGAAGTTCCTGGGAGCAGAAGGAAATTTCTCATCCTGTTAAACACACCCCGCCCCCAGAAACAGGGCATTTACCAATCCTTTAGTGAAGCTGTGCGACCCGGACACCAAACCAGATTGCTGTTGGCTAGACAGGGATGCACAGTCACCCAGCAAAACAGCAGCAGATTCCAATCAGACCATCAGGGCCAGCCCTTTTAACAAACAGGGTTTATTTATTTCAACAATTAAAACACCAGAGGTTAAAATAAATAAAAATATGAGCTGCCAAAGGTTGGGGGAGGCGGGGAGGGCATGTCATCCTCCTGAAAACCAACATAAGATATTTGAGAAAAACTCAACATTCATTTCTGCCAAAAATACTCAGTAAGCTTGAAATAAAGTTTAGATATTTAACATCATCATAAACACCTATTTCAAGGTGTTTCACACTCAAGGAGGTGAGCGTGAACCTTGAACAGTGAGCAGCTGAAGGCACTTCCATCAAAGTCTGGGATAAATGGAGGGAGTCTAGGACTTCCTTTGGGGGATTCGAGAAGGAAAGTAATTTCACTGGGCAAGGCAACCCACTCCAGGATTCTTGCCTGGAGAATCCCATGGACAGAGGAGGCTGGCTACAGTCCACGGGGTTGCACCGAGTCAGACACAACAGAAGTGACTTAGCACACATAGACGCATGATGGTAACAGTGAGAACTAGAACCCTGAATACCCAACAACAAAGGACTGCAGGTGAATGTTTGACACGGAAGGGTACTTTAGTTTTGTTTTTAATAGCAGGTGACAAAGGAAGTACACACACACACATCACATCATATATAATTTTTCCCATGCACTTGCAGGCTGACAGCAGAAGACATCCTTGGGTGGAATTATGAGTGCTTAAATCTGTGTGTGTGAGAGACATACAGAGAGAGGCAAGAAGGAGAGAAATGAGGGGAGATGGTTCATCTGTGTTTGGTGGATTTTTTTTTTTACCTGCCTACAGTTAACAAGTGTTTCTTTATACCTTTAAGGGTTTCTTAGGTTTAGTTTTTAAATCAGGCTCAAATCATTGTACACAGCCTTTCGTTTCTGCAGAAACACAAAAAGTGTATGTGTATGTACACACAGATACACAAACAAAGTTTGACACACACCATCACAGCAGTGAGCATCTCTGGGGAAGTTACAGCTGATCTTTATTTTCTTCTTTATGTTTCTAAGGTTTCCTTTTCTCCAGTGAGCATCTATAATGTAAGTTAAGAACACATACAATTTTGAAGGGGAAAAGAAACCTAACAAACTAGCACTCTTCTTTTTTCCTCAAGCAGAATGGGAGAAAACCCGTTGGCTGTGTCTGATTCTCACCTAAGAAACTTTAAAGAAAGAACTGTTTCCAGCAGGGATGGTACTAAACAGAAGATTCTGATTTATTATGGATGAACATAGAAAGTTAAAAGGCAAAATCATCTCTTTTCTATTAAAATGTTGGTCTGCTCTCATGACTCCTGGTTTCCATTCAAAGCTCATTAATGTCCCAGTTAAATAATATTCACTAGAGCTGGAAATGAAATGGCATGAAACACCAGCCACTGATTATATTAAATTCAATAAACTGTGCCTAAGTCAAGTTATGAGACATTTAAGCTCTGTGAATCAGTGATGGTTAAGTTCCTTCCTAATATCTGGTCATTCAGCAAAGAAAGCCTCTTTAGACCGTCAGCACTGGAGGCGTTTTCCGTGTCTAAGCACGTGATCTGGATGCTGACCCTCGGGGCGGCCGTGGTCACACAGGTGCCTGCGGCCACCTGATGGCAGCCCGACCCTGCTGAGCAGGAAGTCAGCTGCTGGCACTGCTTGTGCTTTTAAAAGGCAGCACTGGGACTCCTCATGGTCCAGTGGTTGAGACTTTGCACTCCCAACACAGTGGGCCCAGGTTTGACCCGACTGGGGAACTAGAACCCACATGCCACAACTAAAGATCAGAAAGACAGAGAGAAAGAAGGAAAAAAAAGGAAGAAAGAAATGGCAGCACTGCCCGCCCAACTGGACCCGCTCCTGTCAACAGGCTCCTGTCTGCCGTCATTTCCTACATAAACAGGCACAGAAACCACTGGGAGGGATGACCCCAGGGTTCTCAGGGCACCCAAAGAATCTACTCAGCCATAAGTGAAACTGAAAGAGAAGATGGTGGATTAAAGGAACCAAACCCAGAGTTGGCTAGATGATGCCTGGGAAACTAGCGATCTCTCCTTTCCCACAGGCAGCTGACAAGGATATCTTTCCATGGGGTGCGACTGGCTGGCTGGGGTACAGAGGGGGGCTCTGCCATCCAGGAAGAAAAGAGGTGCTGAGGCTGAAGCTGGGCTCACGGCAAGTGCTCAGGACACCCGCGCCCTGCCCCGCCAGCACGACCGCTCTGCTCCAGGGCGCGCTGCCCACCGCCGACTCTGCCTCAGGAAACCTCCCACCAGAGCCCTGCTGTGACCCAGCTCCTGTTCGCTCAGGCTTACGTGCCCACATGCACAGAACTGGAAGGGAAATGGGTCACATGGCCAGCACATGGCAGGAACTTCATCCAGAGACGACCTCCCTTTAATCACCTATTTCATTAAGAAAGAAATGTAATTGTCCTCTACGATGTCCCAGCGTCTAGAATATAGATTTCTTAAGCCTAGAGACTCATTTCCGTAAATCTGTTAAGTACTGTATCAATATGTTCACCTGGGTGACAGCGGATGGAGGCTGCAGTGAAGCCTTGTCAGAGAATATTAAATTCCACCTCAGCAGTGCTTAACATTAAATTCCTCATAACGGAGATGATATATAGGTGATTCAGGAATATCAGCTTTTCTTGTCTTGTTATATAACCTAGCTATTTTACGGTTCAATAATTTTCAAATATTAATGAAGGAAGAGTGCCAAAGCAACGTGAGAAAGTCAGAAACGCCTCAGCCTTATCGGCACAAGATAGTTCAGCTTATACTTCAGAATCTAAGAATTATGAACTCAGAACGGAGCCCCCAATAGGTGTTAGAATACCTCGGCATTAGTTCTTAACTGCCTTCTTTTTGTTCTGGGGGATGGAGCCTGGTTCCAAAGCTGTATTTGATTTTTAAAAAATAACAAAACTTTCTCTCCAGAAAAACACACATGAAATTTTACACAAAAGTGCAAAGGGCTCAGGGCATTTGACACTGATTAATGGACCTGACATTAAAAATCACAGTCTGAGGATTATTTAACACCTTTAATTTATAAAATTTCCTCTATCTAGCAACTATGAGTGGTCTAAAATCTAAATCAGTAGGAGACAATACGTCTCCCTTGATTCAACCCAAAAGTCATCTTCCAGAGCATTTCACTGGTTACAATTCTTCAGGGAAAAAAAAATAAGGACTCGCTGGTGGTCAGGTGGCTAAGACTCCACGTTCCCAATACAGGAGGCCCAGATTTGATCCCTAGTCAGGGAACTAGAATCCCATGCTGGAACTAAGAGTTCACACACCACAACCAAAAAGCTCCCACAGCCAAATAAAGAAAATAAATATCTTAAAAAACCTAACAGAGCAAATCCTTAGAGAAAACGTCTTAAACTTCATATAACAAAAAATGAACACCACTCCAGGTTAATAAAATAATCCTTATATGTTCTTTGAAGTACATACGCTTCTTGAAGAACCCGAGTGACTACCATATCCTGAATCACCCACAATGGAAAGCAGGCAGGAGCAGAAACGGAGCCGGCTTCTCACCTGCGGCGAAAGCTGAGCACATCACGAAGAACATCCCCACGGCGATCCTTTTCAAGGATGATGGTAGCAGGCCGTTTCGTTTCAAGATGGGATCGACTAGTTTATCTTTCAGGGGAATTAGCAGGAGGATGAGCACAGCATCGAACATGGTCAGCCAGGCTGCCGGAAACTAGAATTTGGAGATGCAGAAGACACAGGCTTATTTTTCTACAGTGCCAGCAGTTGCTTGCTTGACAACTAACGTCTAAATGGGAAAAGCTTACTTCAAAAACAGTTCATTTGTATAAATATGACCTCCCAGGAAAATAGTCTGTCTCAAGACACTGGATCTGAGGAAAGGCTTTCATTTCTAAAGGGATGTGATTTGGGTTTTCTGTGCTTTCTGGGGGGAAGAAGAATCAGGTCAGATATTCATGCTTAATTGACAGTAGCAACTTAGTATGGGCTTGCCAGATGGCTCAGTGGTAAAGAATCTGCCTGCCAAGCAGGAAACGCGGGTTCAATCCCTGGATTGAGATGATCCCCTGGAGAAGGAAACTGCAACCCACTCCCGTACTCTATGAAATTTTACACAAAAGTGCAAAGGGCTCAGGGCATTTGACACTGATTAATGGACCTGACATTAAAAATCACAGTCTGAGGATTATTTAACACCTTTAATTTATAAAATTTCCTCTATCTAGCAACTATGAGTGGTCTAAAATCTAAATCAGTAGGAGACAATACGTCTCCCTTGATTCAACCCAAAAGTCATCTTCCAGAGCATTTCACTGGTTACAATTCTTCAGGGAAAAAAAAATAAGGACTCGCTGGTGGTCAGGTGGCTAAGACTCCACGTTCCCAATACAGGAGGCCCAGATTTGATCCCTAGTCAGGGAACTAGAATCCCATGCTGGAACTAAGAGTTCACACACCACAACCAAAAAGCTCCCACAGCCAAATAAAGAAAATAAATATCTTAAAAAACCTAACAGAGCAAATCCTTAGAGAAAACGTCTTAAACTTCATATAACAAAAAATGAACACCACTCCAGGTTAATAAAATAATCCTTATATGTTCTTTGAAGTACATACGCTTCTTGAAGAACCCGAGTGACTACCATATCCTGAATCACCCACAATGGAAAGCAGGCAGGAGCAGAAACGGAGCCGGCTTCTCACCTGCGGCGAAAGCTGAGCACATCACGAAGAACATCCCCACGGCGATCCTTTTCAAGGATGATGGTAGCAGGCCGTTTCGTTTCAAGATGGGATCGACTAGTTTATCTTTCAGGGGAATTAGCAGGAGGATGAGCACAGCATCGAACATGGTCAGCCAGGCTGCCGGAAACTAGAATTTGGAGATGCAGAAGACACAGGCTTATTTTTCTACAGTGCCAGCAGTTGCTTGCTTGACAACTAATGTCTAAATGGGAAAAGCTTACTTCAAAAACAGTTCATTTGTATAAATATGACCTCCCAGGAAAATAGTCTGTCTCAAGACACTGGATCTGAGGAAAGGCTTTCATTTCTAAAGGGATGTGATTTGGGTTTTCTGTGCTTTCTGGGGGGAAGAAGAATCAGGTCAGATATTCATGCTTAATTGACAGTAGCAACTTAGTATGGGCTTGCCAGATGGCTCAGTGGTAAAGAATCTGCCTGCCAAGCAGGAAACGCGGGTTCAATCCCTGGATTGAGATGATCCCCTGGAGAAGGAAACTGCAACCCACTCCCGTACTCTAGCCTGGAAAGAGCCTGGCAGGCAACAGTCCATGGAGTTGCAAGAGTTGGGACATGATTTAGTGACTAAACAACCACCACAAAGTCAATTTAATCTAGTAAAGGACATAACCAATGGAAAGACAGTTACAGAAGTGAGTAAAAATTCCATTTCAATAGGAACATGTTTAGTTCAAGCTACCTATGTCATTTACAAAGCATTTGTGATTGACAGGAGAAATTCATTTGTTACGTAAGCCCCCAATGACAATTTTCACATCATTTCAATTGTTCTCACCGTATGAGGATTGGTTGTAATACTGGAAATTTCTGGAATCTTCAAATGAAGACTCTGTAAAACATACGTCGTCTGCATCTGGATGTAAAAAGCAGTGTCATTACATGTGCACAGCTGTCAGACCTGCAGCGAGCCACCCCTCCCCCAGACTACTCTGTGATGAGACTCGCAAAGGTCAGGTTGGAAAACAGGCAGGTCAATCTCTTGGTCACCATAAAAGTCGTCTGGAGATGAACTTTGGAAAAGAAGTAATGACTACCCCAGTGAGAAATCAAATTAAAAGGTGGAGCCTGGAAAAACAGAGGTATGCCCATTCTTAGCTTCATTTTTAAAAAGATTTTCAAAACATTTAAGTCCACAAAAATGAGTCCGTAACTAACAGCAAGATTCCAAGATCCTGGAGACTTATGGCAAAGAAAGCAGGGAACCCAGGCACTTGAGTGCTGGGGCAGAGTTCACGGTGGGGGGGGGAGAGAGGAAATGAGACCTGAATATAAAACTCACTTGAAAATACACTGTCCAGTAAGGTATCAAAGCCAAGAAAACGGGGACAATCTTGACAAGAGCTTTCACATCTTCCACTTTATCTTCTGGGAATGGCCCTCCTCGAGACATCTTACATGAATCAAACAGACTGTGTTTAGAAGATTGCTGAAAGACTCCAATGCCTTCACTTTGGGAAATAAAATGAAGGAATTAGTTTTCTTCCACTCCCAGAAATCAGTTATTTGGTAACAAATTAGGTTTGGGGATAGGAAATGAGCTTGCTGCACTCAATCTGCTCAAACCCCCTTCCGCTACCTACTAACTGTCCCCCACCCAATATGGCCACCCAGATTACTCCTCAACATGGGGAGACGTCCAGAAACAGCAGATGGTAGCACTTCCTAGCCAGATGCAACGCTGGCCGCCGTCACGGTGTGATCACCCAGTGCTGTCTGGAAGGTGGCCAACCTCATCCCCAGCTTTGTCACACTGGCCACTGGTCCTGCGCTGTGGAGGAAGCCGGCAGCTTCATCTGAAGCTGGTGACACCTACATCAGCTACATCACCGGGTGAGCATTTGAAAAGACGACTGTCCTGGATTGTTTGGACCTTAAATTAGGTTATCTATCAAATGTCAAGAGTCGATGACCAACACTAAACTCTTACAAAACCGAGCTGGTTTACTGTATTGCAGTCACACTGGTGTGACTGGGAGGGAGGGCTCTGTTACAGCAAAGAAGACATCAGCTCTTCACTTAAGGAAGAGCCGAGATGGGGCGGGGGTGATGCTCCTGGTGATAACCTGATGGCGGCACCGGGGGGAAGATGACACTGAGTGCCCAATGGTGGGCCCTGACTGCCACCCTATCAGGCACCAGGACACTCATACTGCACCCCCACACCCCCCGCCGCGCGGAGGAGGAAGTCAGGGCACAGAGGGTACGAAATGTGCCCAGGGCAGCACACCCAGAGCACGGGCCAGGATCGGACCCCAAGCGGTCCTGGCTGTAGGACCTGAGGTCCCCATCACTGGAGGGCCACCTGTCCTTCTGCTCCCGCCCTTGGGCCCCCCTCCCCCAATGCTCGGGCCCGCTGGTCACAGTCCAGAGCTCTCGGCTGGCTCTGGCACCAGGAGGCCTTCCGGTCCTGGCTCTGGGGCTGGGGCTGGCAGCCCCGCCCACTCGCTCACCCTGGCCTGCCTTCATTTATAACATGCACAGGTCCCAGGTCTCAGGGGGCAACTCCAAGACCTTTCCCAACCCAAAACACTCTTAATGGAGAAACACGCTCTAAGGCCCTTTGTGATAAAATAGGGGGAAAAAAAAGTTTTAATTATACACCCTTCTCTAAAACCAGAAATAAATTACCATTAAGAATGCTTGCAATTCTGGGACTTGGATATAAATGGTAGCTGTCAGCTTTCTAGTTTATAAACTCCTGTCCCATTTGACTGAGTCATCAACTACTGTGAATAATTTTTGTCTTTTAACACTGACATTTTAAATCTGAACTGTCTTTTAACATTGACATTTTAAATCTGAACTTTCTGAGCAGGGAAAAACTGAAAACTATAAAATTTAAACCAAGTTGTGGACAGAAAAAGTAAATTCAACAGATATTTATTGAGCACCTACTATATGCCTCATTCTGTTTCTAACTGGGTGCTGAGTATACATGCATACATTAAAAAAAGATTCATCTCCTGTCCTTATGCAGCTGAGTCCGGTGGGGAAAAATACTCTGAAAAACACACTTAATGTGAAAACGCTAAATTCCAAGCATATTATTATTCATACTTTTACTTGAAAAAATTCATAACTTCTCCTTTTTTTTGGCCAAAGACGTAAAGTCCCTATAAACCTAACATAGATTCTATCAGTGATTACTACAGCACACTGCCGACGCCTCTCTAAATACATTCAAATGTCAAACAGCAAATTCACTTCACACACAGAGTCATGCACACAGGTTGGTGGCTATGCTTACGTTTTCATATCATTAAAGTATTTTAAAAACTATTTTAAGTCACTACACATCTAAAACTTTGCCCAGGTCACACACATTGTTAATGTTATTATTCTGTAACATACAAGGGTCCAACATGGAGCCACAAGTCACGAACAACAAGGCACGCAGACCAGCGCTCCCCGAGCCCCCGGCCGAGGCTGCGTGTGCAGCTGTGCACATTCTCCCGGGAGGAGGAGCGGGAGGTGGGGCTGTCAGCGCTCAGATCCTCAACTAGCAGAGGTTAAGTCTCTCAGAAAGGGTGTAGCATTGTTTCCACTCACCGATGAACTGAACTGACAGGCATGGATTTCATGTCTAAAACAGCAATAAAACATCCTCAAAACAGAGGCAGCCCCCCAAAAAAAAAACCAAAACAGATACCCCCTAGAGCAGAAAGAAACTGGGACTGGGCCAGAAGAAATAAGCCCCGTAAATAACGGAATGCTGGGTGATACTGCACTTCCTTTGCTTCTAGAGCAGACATTCTGCAAAAGTATCCCCATCGGTGAGTTACCACTGACTGGCCTCTTATCAGCTTACTAGGCCTCACGATGGTCCTATGAGAGGGGACCTCTCCAGCTGCACAAGAAGGAAAAGAAGTCTCTGCAAGGCCATTGACCTGCCCAAGATCAGACAGCCCCAACCCGTGCATAAGGAGAGCAAAGTCAAGAGAATTTGCCAGACCATCAACTTCTCTGCAAGCTGGCCCTCTTTGAATTCCTGCCAAGGAAGACTTCAAAAACCAACATAAAGGGAAAATCGATTCCCAAGTCCCAATAGTCTTTACCACGCCCTTTGTGCATCAAAACTCACATGTCCACAAAGCAACAGTGTCCTCCTGCACAGGTGTACCAGGCATCACCCAGAAAGACACTCTGAAACTTTAATGATACATTTTGCTAGTGGATATTTAATCTATAGGCTAAACATCTGGGATCTGAAACCATGCTTTCGCTGAATTAAAACAAGGCCCTGGTAAAGCACTACTGCCGGCTGGAGAGGCAGCGGGGCTTCAATCATTAAAAATTCAGTGTGGTCCCACCAACAGCTGCTCTGAACTGTGAGTTTGAATGGACACTGAATGCGCTCAGGAGCCTGTGGAGCCCCGCCGGGGGGCCGCCAAAGCAACCAGAGGCGTTTGGCCTGGAGCCAAGGGGCGAGGCTGTGGGAGCTGTTCTGGTACAGCTTCAGATCCACCACGTGGGAGGAGCACGAGACATCTGTGATGGCTCCAAGGACATAAATAGTATACAGGCAGACAAGCCACGAGGAGGCAGACAGACGCAGGTCAGTCTGCGGAACGTTCTTTCAACGGGGGCCCTCCTTGTGGAGGGGCAGGAGGCTCCCCAGGGCTGAGCAGTCACTCTCCGATTCAGGGACTGAGCACCCATCTCAATGCCCCTGTCTTGATCAAAATACTCCCCGAGAGGCTCAACTCCAAATGGTCCCGAGGACTTTTCTGGGCTGATGGACATATTCTACATTCTGACTATGGTTACCTGACAGAATAAATCTGTCATAATTCCCAGAATAGTGCAGGTAAAAGGGAAGTCTTTTATTATATGTAATTTACACATCAATAAGTAACACCAAAATTTTCTGAGGTCTTTCTGTGAGCTAAGTTCTGGACTTCTCTTCACTAATCTGCAACTAGGGTGACCGACCTTCCACCAGAGCTTGCCCGGGACTTTTGGCTTTAAAACCTCAGGTCATGGGTAGACAATGCTCCACCTGGGAAGCCGCGTGTAAATGGGACGATGGCCTCACCCAGCCGCATCTTAGTTCTGCTACCCTGTCCTCCTCAGAAAGCGGCGGACGTGACCACCGGAGCACTGCCCGCGCGACCTGCTCGGCTGCTGGCCCTGCAGTGGGAGGCAGCGGCTTACTGCTTAAAGAGCACAACACGCATCTGCGCCTACAAACTAAGCAGCTGCGCGGTTTCTGAGCCAAAGGACTGTCACGGCCTTTTAAAATAAAGAGAACTGTAGCAAGTTCAATGCTGTCTCTTCGATGCCCTTGGCGAGCCTCTGTCTTTATCCTCTTTACATAGCTAAGCAGTCCGGGGCCTCCGTCTACATCAGCAGTAAGAGGAGGGCCAAAGTGCAGGTTAGAAATGAAAAAGCGAGAGCCGGGGAAGGAGGCAGGCCTCTGGCTCATCTTTAAGACGGAGACAGGACACCTCACCGCATACTCCTGGCGCTGCCGTGAGACATTTCAACTCCAGCTCCATGACCCCCCGCCCAGCAGTGAGCATAGGACAGACAGACGCGAGCACTTTATTTTAGAGTGGTTAGTAAGTCATGTGGAACAGTCTGTGACGAGAAAAAGCCGCCTACCCGCTAGGACTGTGCTCCCCGATGCGCTTCTGAGGGCGGCAGGAATAGACCAATATCCTGAACATGTCGGTGAAGGCACTGCCGTCGGGCGGCTTGGTGATGAAAAAGGTCTGGCCGCACAGGAAGACCACGAAAGCAACACCAATGCAGACAGCAGGGATGGCATAGCCAGTGACAAAGCTCACGTTCTGCTGGATGTAGGCAATGCCCCCCAGCGAGACGATTGCTCCCAGATTAATGCTCCAATAAAACCAATTAAAAAATCTTCGCGTGGCTTCTGGACCCCGATCTTTAACCTAAAATAACATGGAAGAAAAAGACTTAATCCCATGTGATCACCTTCAAGGATGAAAAACATATATGATGCTTTTATATACATTGTTTTATGTATGTGTGTGTATGTGCATGCTCAGTTGTGTCCAATTCTTTGTAACCCCATCGACTGTAGCCTGCCAGGATCCCCTGTCCATGGGCTTCTCCAGGCAAAAATACTGGAGTGGGTTGCCATTTCCTCCCCGAGGGGATCGTCCCAACCCAGGGATCGAACCCAGGTCTCTTGCATCTCCTGCACTGGCAGAAGGTTCTTTACCATTAGCATTAAATGGGAAATCCACTTTATATATATATATAATAGTATGATAAATTGATACAACTTTCTATCAATTACTGTTGTCGTCATAATCTTTAAGAAATGCAGCACATGGGAATTCCCTGATAGACCAGCGGTTAGGACCTAGTGCTTTCACTTCTGAGCCCCACGTCCAATTCCTGTTTGGGGAACTAAGATCCCACACGCCACGGCCAAAAAAAAAAGGGGGAAAAACAGTAGCACAATCAAATGGTATTTACAGATAAGCTCAAGGGCCCCTTGACAAAAAATGTGTTTTACACTTCCAATTACTACAGATTTCTTCAGTTCAATTCACTCGCTCAGTCGTGTCCGACTTTTTGCGACCCCATGAATTGCAGCACACCAGGCCTCCCTGTCCATCACCAACTCCCAGAGTTTACTCAAACTCAAGCCCATCGAGTCAGTGATGCCATCCAGCCATCTCATCCTCTGTCGTCCCCTTCTCCTCCCGCCCACAATCCCTCCCAGCATCAGGGTCTTTTCCAATGAGTCAACTCTTCGCATGAGGTGGCCAAAGTATTGGGAGTTTCAGCTTCAGCATCAGTCCTTCCAATGAACACCCAGGACTGATCTCCTTTAGGATGGACTGGTTGGATCTCCTTGCAGTTCAAGGGACTCTCAAGAGTCTTCTCCAACACCATAGTTCAAAAGCATCAATTTTTCAGCACTCAGCTTTCCTTACAGTCCAACTCTCACATCCATACATACAGATTTCTTAAATATACTTAAATCCAAGAAATCCTAGAGCATTTCTCAAAGTAGTTCCCCATGGACCACGTGCTTTGTGAACGCCTGGAATGCTTCTTAAAAATACAGAGTCACAGGACCTATTATTATCCAGGACCAGCCACTCATCATCTCTGGGGTTGGAACCCAGAAGTCTGCGTTTTAAACAACTTTCCAGAGGACTTCTATTCAAAGCCATATAGCTCCAAGCCTTGATACATCTGGAACCAGGAGAAAATTAGAGAGTGCAACTAAAACTACCTGCTGTTTCCAGACCAGGAAGCCTCTCGGGGAATCAAGAGAAGTTCTGATAAGGACAGGATTCCTGAAAGGTTCAAAGATCACCGACTCCCTGAACGTAGACACACAGAAGAACCAGGTCACACAAGCACTTTCCTCATGAGCTACCCAGTGGGGGCCTGTCCTGGCGCAGACAAGACGACCTGTGTGGGCTTGGGCGCCCCGGAACGTCCCTCCCTGAAGATGGCTTTTCACATCTACGTGACACCCTGAGAATGTGCTTGAGCCATTCCATCTCATAAAACATTTAAACAAACCTCCTGGTTTAAAGGCTGATGCTGGATTGTGTACAAAAACTGCCAGGTCTTGCTGTCTCGGGAACCTCTGTTGTCTTGTCCTTACATTACAGGCTATGAAAAGGTTGGACAATTTCTGGTCCAGTAACAAATCTGAATTCTGATCCACAGAGTACTCTCTTCTAACAAAGGAGGTTCTCACTGGGGGCCTAAACAACCAGTTATGATGCACAAAAACCATCTTTTTGCAGCCATATTATGTGATATGACATTTTAACCTCTATTTCTTAAGATCAAAGTACAGGTATAAATACAAAATCAGAATCATGTGCCCCTCCAAAAAATTTTAATCCAAAATGATTAAATATGCTGTTAAGTCGCTTCAGTCGTGTCCAACTCTGTGCGACCCCATAGATGGCAGCCCACAGGCTCCTCTGTCCAAGGGATTTTCCAGGCAAGAGTACTGGAGCAGGCTGCCATCACCTTCTCCCAATTAAATATGCTATGCGCAAGAGAGTCGGATAAAACTTAATGACTAAACAGCAACAACATGGTAACAAGTAATATGCATTAAGTAATTATCTGGTAATCACTGTCTAAAACTGAAAATCTGAGTTTTAAACCTCACATTGTCAGGATGAGCTTTAACTCGACTCCTTTCCACGTCAGAAATGAACAGAGAGCCAAGAACAAATGATGGCAAGACCAATGAGTGAATAAATGATTTGTATGGAGGATGTCTTATATTTCTAAGGACAGCTCCCCCTGAGGACACAATGCATTTGTTTGTTTGTTTAGGCTGTCTCATGTGACCTGTGAAATCTTAGTTCCCCGACCAGGGGTTGAACCCATGTCCCTGCAGTAGAGGCGAGTCCTAACCACTGGAGTACCACGGAGGTCCCCATAATCCATTCAAATGTCACTAAAATGGACTCAAGTATTCGTTATCTCCTGGGAACAAACCAGAGAAAATGGCTACAGAGAAAATGCAACTAAAGATAAGAAAACAAGTAATTAGGGTGGGGGACAAACTTAACAGGGAAGAGGGCCAGTAAACAGAATATCGAAAATTAACACAGACAACTTACGTATTTACTGAAATACATCAGGGCCCTTCCCACTGTCTATAGAGGTGCTGCCCACATCCTGGTGAACTTGGCAATCAACTTACTGAACTTCCAAGTGTAATGCACCCAAATTACTTTAAATAACCACATACCAGTAATTTTCTGGAACAAATGGGAAGCTGCCCTTGTAAACCGCAGATCACATGCTTCTGTGCTCTGGACTGACACCCTCCCTTCAAGTCGGTCACATTATATCACCATCTGTACCCTCGCCTCCTGCCCGACCAGATCAAGGCCAACAAGACCATCATGTGACTGACTAGTCAAAAGACAGCACTGCTGCAACTCAAAGAGCAGCTGGAAGAACAGGATCCTGTGCAGTGAGTCAAACAGTAGGCTGATTTGGAAAAATTCCTTTAAACACACAAGGGCAACTTTTCTTTCCTCTAGGTGAAGTGTATCTTGGCTCTCTTGTAAAATAAGTTCTTTCAGTCTGCTGTTTCAAATACAGGATCCATCCATTAAGAATGATTGTGACCTCTGAGAAAGGTTAAGTACTGGGGGAAAGGTGGGGCTGACAGAATCCACATCAGCATTGCCCTTGGACTCTGTGGTGTAAGTCTTCTTTCCAAAGCCAGCCAAGGCCGCCTCCTCAGAGCTGCACAGCCTGACCCCATTCATCTCTCCCTCAGACTGTTTCGTAGAAGCCCTGTGTCACAAAGGCGTGAGTGATAGAAAAGCCTAAAAGGTACCTTCTGCGTACCACTCAGCCACAGAAAAGAATGAAATCATGCCTTGTGCAGCTACATGGACGGACCTGGAGATTATCACACTAAGTGAAGTCAGTCAGGCAGAGAAAGACAAATACTACGTGATATCACTTATATGCGGATAAATCAACTTATTTATAAAACAGAAACAGACTCACAGACATATAGAAAACAATCTTATGGCTACCAAAGGGAAAAGTTGGGGGTGACATAAATTAGGGACTTGGGATTAACAGATACACACTGCTATATATAAGACAGATAAACAAGGTCCCACTGTATAGCACAGGGAACTATATTCAATACTTTGTAATAGACTATAGTGGAAAAGAAATGGAAAAAGGGTATGTATAAATGTATAACCAAATCACTTTGCTATATACCTGAAACACAACATTGTAAATCAATCATATTTCAATTAAACAAAAAAGTTCCTGGGAGCTCCCTGGTGGTCTAGTGGTGAGGATTCAGCAGAGTGCAGTGGCCTGGGTTCAATCTCTGGTAAGACAACTGAGATCCAGCAAGCTGCTGGGCTCGGCCAAGATTTAAAACAAAAAATCCTTAAAAATACAAACAGATTTCCTCAAACTCAGACAGGCCCGGAGATGTCAAACTAGCTCCTCCTGAAGAACAGACCACAGGCCTCATGCCTAGAGGGCAGGCTCCTGGGTGTACCTCCCTGCACCTGCGGGGGAGGGAGGGGAGACTTCTGAAATCCCCTTCGAAGACCAGCCAGCACCTGGCACAGAGCAAGCACTGCAGCTGAAGGGTACTAACATTTTCGTTTCCACTGAGATACAATTCTCACACTATAAATGCACCCTTTTGAAATGTACCACTCAGTGTTTTTCAGTCTTCACAGATGTCTAACCACTACACCACTGCTTTCCAATTCTACCTTCTCATCACACCAGCAAGAAACCTGATTCAGTTCACAGTGGCTTCCCCTCTCCCATTTCCTGACTCCCCGGTAACCACTCATCTCTTAAGTCTTTATTGATCTGTCTATTCTGGACATTTCATACAAATGGAATCCTATGATATGTGGTGTTTGGTGCCTTGCATCTTTCAACGGCATGATGGTTTCAAGGTTCATCCACAATGAAGCAAGTACTTCATCTCTTTTCACCGTTGAAGCATATTCTGCCTATGTCCATCCATCAGTTGATGGCCATCTCCTTGCTGCTGTTGCTGTTTAGCTGCTAAGTTGTATCTGACTCTTGCGAACCCAGGGACCGTAGCCCACCAGATTCCTCTGTCCACGGGATTTCCCAGAAACAATACTGGAGTTGGGTGCTGTTTCCTTCTCCAGGGAATCTTCCCAACCCAGGGTTCAAACCTGGGTCTCCTGCTTGGCAGGCAGATTCTTCTTAACTTTAAAAAAATTTTAAACATACAGAAAAGTTGGAAGAACAGTAAACCATACACACCTATAGCTTTCATCTACATCCTTAGTTCTTTTTCTGTACATATTCAAAATACTCTTTTGGCTGAACTATTAAGCTGCAGCATCGTATTTCACCCCAAAGATTTCATCATGACTCTCCTACAAATAAGGCTGTTCTTCTACAAGACCACAAACCATCATCTAAGAAAATTATCATCAATGCAGCTTTATCTACTATGTGGTCTGTAATCAAGTTATCCCAGTCATCCTGATAAATGACTTTTTAAAAAGGTGGGTTACAATCACAAAGCACATGCTGTGTATGGTGGTCAAATCTTTGATACCCCTGAATCTGATCTCCATGACAGTGTCATGTTAGATGAGATTGGGTCAATTCTCTTGCAGAACAGCACATTTCTTTTTAATGTCCACATCTACATATCAAGAGTCCAAATTCTGTCATGCCTTCTAGAGTACTTCTATGGGACCACTCATTCTTCTAAGGAGTATTGATCACCTGTCTATTACCTACTGTAGAGCAGTCATTTCTAAGTCAGACTTTCTGGAGTCAAACCCAGCTTCCCCACTCACTTGCAGTGCACCAGGGCTGGTCAAACCTGCTAAGCCTCTGTTTATTGTAAAACAGGGATAATTATGGGATAGAAATTGTTGCGGGGTTTTATATAAGACAGTGTAGGAAGAGTACTCAGTACAGTGGGGCCTAACCTACACACTCAGCACGCATTGCAGTCCTATGGCCCGGTCTTTAGAGATGGAGTGACTCCCCTGGTGGTCCAGCGGTTATCAATGTGCCTGCTAATGCAACTACGGAAGCCTGAGCACCACAACTACCAGCGCGTCCTAGAGTGCCTGCTCCGTGATAAGAGACGCCACCACAATGAGAAGCCTGTGGACAACGAAGAGTATAGCCCCCAATCCCTGCAACTAGAGAAAGCATGAGTGCAGCAATGAAGACCCAACATAGCCAAAAAAATACTAAATAAATAAAATAAATTTTCAAAAAAACCAGAAACACAAGATGAAGAACTCCCAGTCCTGGGCCTCGGAAGTTGGCAGAACAATCACAGAATGCCCATCTCAGCTAAAGTATACATTAAGAAATCAAACCTGCACCTAACTATGGTGTAATCACTCACTACCTACAAAACAAAAGAAATACAACTCTTTGCACTTCCATTTCCTCATTTTAAAAATAGGGCTAGGATTCATAAGAGATTCAAATGAGTTCAGGTATGTAAAGCACATTCCATGGTGCAGAGGAAGGAGGTTAAGAATTCAAGACATTAGGCAACTATTATCTCCGCATCGTAAGAAGGACTCGCCTTACCGTAAGAGCCTTTCACAGGTGTGACTAATGTTCAGATTCAAAGGATGCAAGTTGCTGCATCCTGGCTCAGTCACGTACTAGCACTGTAACTTTGGGCAAATGATTTAACCGCTTGAGTCTTCATTTCTTCATCTGCCAAATGAGCACAGTAACAGCAGAAGCGTCCTATGAACTGGCGAAGTACTCAGAACAGGGCCTGATGCACAGTAGGCCCTCTGTAAATGCTGGCAATCACATGGCTACTTGGCCCATAAACCTAGGAGGAGCCTTCTCTGTTGCATAAGATCAGCCAGCAATTCTGGCGCTCTCTCTGCATGCAACGCAGGAGACCTGGGTTCGATTCCTGGGTCGGGAAGATTTTCTGGAGAAGAGAATGGCTACCCACCCCAGTATTCTTGCCTGGACAATCCCATAGACAGAGGAAGCCAGGCGGGCTACAGACCATGGCGGGGGGAAGGGGGGGGTCGCAAAAGAGTCACACACGACTTAGCCACTAACCAACAACCACTACCTCCGTAATGTCCTAAATCCACCACTTCATTCCTTGTCCATTGCCCCCGTCCTAGTGCAAATCTCTAATTTCTCATCTGGCCAGTGCAACAGACTCCTACCTGATCTGCCTGCTGTCACCACTTTCCATACAACTGAGGCTCTATACCAGACTGCAAACCTTTTCTGTGAGGGGCAGCTTACATTGTAAGTAACATTCAGTCTGTCACAACTACTTGATTCTGCTATCCTATTGTGAAAGCAGTCCCAGCATAGCTGACAGGTGACCAGGTAGGTGCAGGTCTGTGGTTCAATAAAACTTTATTTATGGAGGCTAAAATTTGAGTTTCCTGTCAGTTTCATTTGTCACACACACAAACTTTCTTTTTTTCAAAGAAAAAAAAAAAACCACTTAAGAATCATTCTATTCTTAAGTTGAGGGCTCTCCAAAAACAGGAAGTAGACCAGATTCGGCTGGCAGGCCACAGCTGCCAGGCCCCTGCCCTACAGAGACTGGATATTTTTGAGACATAAATCAGATCACATTACCCTAGGCTCAAAGTCTATAAAAGGCTTCCTACTGTATTCAAAACAGACCTCAAACTCTTTACAAAGCGTCACATCTCTTAGCCCCGACCTGCCACCTCTGTTCCCATTTCTTTTCTGTTTAAGACATAGCTGTCGACAACCTTCTGTAAGTTTAAGGCGTACAAAACGTGTACGTGTTGTAGGTGTTGTACACAATACGTGTACTGATGTGTTCCGTGCTGCAACATGACAGCTACTGTAGCCGCTATGACAACCGGAGCAGTCCTCTCCTCTGGCCCCAGGGCCTTTGCACTTGCGGATGCCCAGTACAGAAACGCCTCTGTCCCCTCCCCCAGGTCTCAACTCCAAAGGCCCCTCGGTTGGAAGGAGGACCCCCGAGTTTGCAGCTCCGCTCGCCAGCACCCACCGCAGGCAGCCCGGGTGGTAACGTGGGTTACCGGGTCCGTGGCCAATCCCGCCCCCTCGCCTCCCACCTGCGGACCCCTCACCTGGTCTGCGCCAAAGGGCGTGATGTTGGCCTTGACCGCGCCCACGCCCAGGCCCACTAGAGCGAGCGCGGACAGCACTGCGGGCGCGCAGTAGCGAGCGGGCGTGTCGGTACACGGCGGCGCCGAGCAATTGCGGACGTTCGCAGGGCCTGGGGCCCCGCAGAGCGCCGAGCGTGTAGCGGGCGCGGCCAGCAGCGGGAAGGCCAGCATGCCGAGCAGGTAGAGCGCCAGGCTGAGCAGGATGGCGCGCGCCCGGCCGAGCCGCGCATCGGCGAGCCAGCCCCCGAACGGCGACACCAAATAGGTGAGGCCCATGAAGAGCAGCAGCGCCTGGCTGGCCTCCGCGCCCTCCCAGCCGAACGCCGTGCCGTTGAGGAACAGCACCAGGTTGGCCGTGACGCCGTAGAAGGCGGCGCGCTCCAGCAGCTCCGTCAGCAGCACGGCCGCGCACGCGGCGCGCCGACCCNAAGTGTAAGTGAAGTCGCTCAGTCGTGTCCGAGTCTTCGCAACCCCATGGACCACAGCCCACCAGGCTCCTCCGTTCATGGGATTTTCCAGGCAAGAGTACTGGAGTGGGTTGCCATTGCCTTCTCCGCCCTGGCCTCTAGTCTCCACTAAATGCCCGTTCCATTCTGTTCCGCACTTGTGACAATCAAAGCTGTCTCCAGATGTTCCCAAAAGAACCCTGAGAGCCACTGCCTGAGAACAAGCTCAGAGCCGATTTCCTTGTCACGTGGCTGGCATCCTGTTTTCCTTCAGCCCTCAACTAGAGTGCTGACTCCTTGTAAACATTTCTTGACCAGCCCATCTAAAATGGATTCCACGCCCATCCCATTACCCTGTTTTAGTTTCCACATACTATCCGCCGCGTTTTTATGCTTATTCCTTTGGCCCCCGCTTGTACCTGGTCCCCACAAGTATGAGCTCTATGGCGGCAGGGTTCTTGTGCGTCTTTTTCTTCACCGTGCTTCATCTTCGCCCCCATTCTCTCCACCCCACCGCCGGGCACCTATGGCAGACACTGTCACAGTGCCACGGGCACCACTTGGGACACTGCAGCAGTGGTGGAATTGGAGAGTCCTGCAGAAACAGTCCTCAGCATGCTTCAGAAACCAGGAAACAGGGCTATAATGATTCAGTTCGAGCAAGACCACATCCTCTCCTTCCTCCATCCTTAACTCCAGCTAGGATGGAGCAATTACCTAAGTTGTGGCCTTGCTGGTAGGTCATCTGGGTAAGTAGGCCTTCCTAAAAGGCTTGAAGCAGCATGTATTAACTTTTTTACTTTTCAAAATGTCTGACATCTTGACTGCAGCAGAGCAAGGTGCTGGCACACAGCAGGCAGTACATAAATATTTAGTAAATATTTAATGAGAAATAACTGAATGCCAACATAGAACTTTACCCATCATATCCATTAGTGCTAATCATTTTAAGCTGTCAGCTCCAATGTCCCTTTCCTGATCTTCCCAGATTTGAACAGATCCCCCTTTTATATATCATTAGAACACAGGATACAATTTTCTTACACACCACCCATTATAATTTATGCTTATTTGTTTTGTGAAGATGTTTAGTAGCTGTCCTTAAAGCTCAGAGTGCTGAGATTTTTTCTCTGCTGCTATATTCCTAGAATCTAGGACCTGCCAGTGATAGATATGTGTGGAATTAAATGAATAAATGAATGATTATTTGTTGAATTGTAAATGGTGTTGGAAGAACTTGTTATGTTCACCTATTTTTTTTTTTTTTTTTGAGACTCTTGTGATGTTCTGCAGCATATATTAGTATCCAAATTTTGCTAGTGGAAAAAGCAACCCTCCCAAGATTCCTATCCCGAATCATACATTTAGTAGGCATTAGAATTTAGACTTAAGTAAAAGGCTCCAAAACTAATTCCTAGTCCAGTGCTTCTTCCACACTCCAGCTGGTAGATAAGTTAAGAACTATGAGTCTCTTTTTTAAAGACTGACAGCATGATACACTCAGACAAAGCACAGAATAATATTAGCATTAAACATGGAGTGAAAATAAATCTCTTCAAGTGGAATCACATGGTGGCTTAGTTTTGAAGCTCTGCCCAAAACAGATGTGCCATTTTGAATGACAGCAAACTAACCCAGTTAGATTGTCTCATTTAAGAAGGATAAAGCCAGGCAAAAAGGGGGGCAGTGGGGTTGGAGGGGAGGGGAGAGGAGGCAGTTACAGAACTCAAGAGGTGCACCCAGGACTGGTGAGCCCGTGTACCTGGTCCTCGGGAGGTCTGCTGTGCACCTCAATCTCTGTACCCAGAGACTGCAAAATATATTCAACTGGCAGAAATGTTTTCCTTTGATTGTGGTGTTTAAAAGAAGTGAGTCAAAACCACATAATGCAGGATTCAGTTTCTGTGAAATGTCCAAAATAGACAAGTCTATAGGGACAGAACTTAAGCTAGTGTGTGATACCCAGGTGCTGGGGGGATGGACAGATTGAGGAGTGACTGCTAAAGCCTTTAGTTTTGTAGTAGTGAAATGTTCTGAAATCATGGTGATAGTTGCACAACTCTGTGAATATACTAAAAACCACTGAATTGTACATGTTAAATGAATGAACCGGATGGTATGTGAATCACATTTCAGTATAGCCATTGCCCCAAAAAGTGAGCCAACAGCTAAACACTGGGAGGTTTCACATGTAAAGTTAGATGCCCTGCTGCTCTTGAAAAAACAGGTGGAAGCCCTGGCAATATTGGGATGTGTGACTGCCTGTGACACGAGTGACCACTCCCTAAACCCCCCACTTGAACTACGATGCTGGTATTTGTGTCTTTACATATTCTTTGCAGGCCACAGTGCCAGAGGGCTGTCTGTGACCTGCCCTTGGTGAAGGAACTATGGTAGAAGAGTCTCTGAGCTAGGTCTCAGGGTAAACCTTGAGAAGTTCTGGCAGCTTCTACTTTTGTGCCTTGGGAGTCCTGGAGCAAGCTACCTTGCTGGAGAGACCATGTGTTGGGAAAGATCCTGCAACTCCATGGAGGAGTCCCAGCAGGCCTTCCTGCTGAAAGAAGACACATAAGTAACCACCAGCAAGAGCAACAGGAAAAACTGCCCCACTGAACCTCCACCCAGATCACGGAATCATCAACAGATTGAATAGTTGTTATTATTTATTTATTTAATCTTTGTGTCTGTGTGGCACAGGAGATCTTAGTTCCCCCGCCAGGGATTGAACCAGCAGTCCCCAACATGGAAGTCTTAACCACTGGACCACCAGAAAGTGAAAGTAAAAGTCACTCAGTAGTGTCCAACTCTATACAGTCCATGGAATTCTCCAGCCCAGAATACTGGAGTGGGTAGCCTTTCCCCTCTCTAGGGGATCTGCCCTACCCAGGGATCGAACCCAGGTCTCCCACATTGCAGGCAGATTCTTTACCACCTGAGCCACAAGGGGAGCCCAAGAATATTGTAATGGGTGGCCTATCCCTTCTCCCGAGGATCTTCCCTATCCAGGAATCAAACCAAGGTCTCCTGCATTAAAGGTGGATTCTTTACCAACTGAGCTAAGAGGGAAGTCTGGACCACCAGGGAGGGCCCTAAATAACTGTTACTTTAAATCACTGAGTTCTGCGGAGGTTTGTTAGGCAGCATGCAAAAATGAAAGCACGCCTGCATTCTCCCGTGGCCACCATCTGCGACTCCAGGTAACCATCCAACATTTAGATGGAGCACACACGGTCTAGCTCACACATGTCATCCCAACTCTCCATTCTTATTTTTTTCACAGTAGAGAAATTATTCCCCATATCTACACTGACCGCTGTCCAGCTGAAATTATTTCAAATTGAATAAAAGGAAAAATTCTGTTTCTCAGTCACACCAGCCACTTGGCAGATGGCAGGGGCCCCAGGTGGTGGATGGCCGCCATTGTGCACAGCACAGTCGAGATCACTCCACAGCTACAGGAAGTTCTACTGCTCCATAGGAATGTGCAGCAGGCGTGGTTGGTTACTTGCTACCAATGTCCACACCCTCTTTCTCCTTCCAAACAATCCTGACCCCACCCTGCTCTCCTCCAACTACCCATGTAGTTCAAGAGAAACTAACTTCATCTTTGTTTCTGGATCTGACAAGTCCATACCAGTGCTCCATCTCTGATGCTTCTTCCTTTTTTAATTTAGTTTTTATTTTTTATTACTTATTTTTTTTGTCCTCACTGTGTGGCATGTGGGATCTTAGTTTCCTGACCAGGGATCGAACCAGTGCCCCCTGCATTAGGAGCGCAGCGTCTTACCCACTGGGCCACCAGGGAAGTCCTTCTGATGCTCCTTCAGAGCTTTCAGAAACCCAGACTGTAGCTATTCAGCATGTGAATTTCCACCAGGGCCCAGCAGAAGACAGGTGACATGGATGGGCCCAGTCAGGCTAAAGGAAAGAACTCTCACTCAATGACTGCAAGAGAAATACACTCTTCCAGACAGGGCGTGAATGAGAATGCCCATAAACCTAGTTGCCAGGGACGGCTGTTTCACAATTGTGTGACAAATCAGTGTAGGATGAAGCCAGCTTTGTGGATGGCACAGTGATGAATCAGGGAGATGTCACATAACAGAAGAAACAAAAGATAGTAAATCTGACGTTGTTTAAGCCACTGTGCTGGACTTGATGTTAGTATGACCCAAAACCACCTGTTGTGAGTCGATCAGAACCTGGGAAAACTGGGATTTCCCTGGTGATTCAGTGGCTAAGACTCTGTGCTCCCAATGCAGGGTGCCTGGGTTCTATCCTTGCTCAGGGAAGTAGACCCCCACATGCTGCAACTAGGAGTCTGCAAGCCACAACTAAAGATCCTGCACACTGCAACGAAGACCCAGTGCAGCCAAATAAATAAATAGATTCATGCTGGTGTAAAGCAGAAACTAATACAACATTGTAAAGCAATTGTGCTCCAGTTAAAGTAATAATAATAATTTTTTAAATGGGAAAATAAAAAATAGAATAAGGGAAAGCAGCCTGATTTCCTACTCCTTCCCCCCAACACATGGTCCAATTTGCTGTTAGAGTTTTCCACCTGGTCCTGGTAGTCAGTGACTTTGCAGACTGCATACTAAGCCCACAATGATTGTATGGCTAAAGGGTTGATATACATTGACTCTCACCTCTTTGTTGGGTACATTTATGATCCATGCCCTCTTCCTGAAAGTAATTGCATAAGTCTCTCCCCTGCACCTAAAACAAATAAATATGTAAAGGACCAAACTCATGCAGCAGCTGTCCAGGGATAGTTGACATCATCTTATTAAGGTCTTTGGGCAGCTTCTCCCCCTCCAGGGCCCTCTGGGAAAGAGGATCTTACTGCAAGGATGCTTGTGGTATAAATTGACTTTGGAAATGCCCCGTTTGCTCAAAACACAGGGCCCTTCCTTCTCCACCACCACCTTGCCCCCTGTGCCTTGCTCAATGCAGAGCTCAGAGAAGATGCTCTCGGAAGGGAGGTGTTTAGAAA